ATCTACATACATATAATCTTTAATATATTTCCATTCATCACTTATAACCATTGCTATAATCACTAACTAATCTCCAACTCTTCTCTTCTCAGCTATATAGCTGGACGCTTTAAGATCATCAGCAATGCGGAAACCAAGGGATTGGCCACATTCGTGGGCACCTTTGCCTTGCCGTCGCTCATCTTCCTCTCGCTCGTCGAGCTCAATTGGAGAGCCGTCAACTGGACCTTCCTGCTGGCCATGCTCATATCGAAGGCGATTGTCTTCTTTGCCGTCTTGGTCATTTGTCTGCTCGTGGCGCGACCTCTGAACTTTGCGCGTGCCGGTCTAATGGCCATCTTCTGCACGCAGAGTAACGATTTTGCCATCGGATATCCCATAGGTAAGACAAAGATCTCTCACACTCTCGCTCTCTCTCCAATCTCTATTTGCTTTTAGTTATGGCTCTCTATAAGGATGTGCATCCGGAATATGCTTCGTACTTGTACCTAATGGCGCCCATTTCGCTGGCCATTCTCAATCCCATTGGCTTGGTTCTCTTGGAGATTAGCAAGATTATCAAAAGCAAGAAGGAGGTCAGTCGCAATCCGCCCCTCTGCCCGGAAACCTGTCCCGCTGAGCAGCTAAGCAAGCAGCGCCGTTGCCTGGGCGAGCATACGATACTCGTGTGGAATACCATCAAGTCGTTGTTCTTCAATCCTTTGCTGCTGATGACACTGCTGGGCGTGGCAGCTGGCTTCCTCTTTCCCAAAGGACTGCCCGAGGTGGTGGCTAGCGTGCTGCGGGTGTTCGGACAGAGCTTCTCGGCCACGGCTTTGTTTTTGCTCGGCCTCAAGATTTTGGGCGGCGGCACCGGAACGGAACGCAAGACAATGGGCATGGGCCTGCTGCTGCCAAGCGTGCTCATTCTGGTCAAGATGTAAGTTGTTGCTTGAATAGAGTAATTGGATATGCTTAACTTATATTTTCCTTCGTTTCTCCTTCAGTTTGGTATTGCCTCTGGTCTGTCGCCAAACTGTGAACATTATCCAGGCGGGCGAGAACTTCAATGATACCACAGAGCTGAGCACCTTTGGTTTTCTCTATGGCACCTTTCCTGCGGCGCCTGGCGCCTTTGTGATTGCTACCCAATACAATGTGGAAGTGGAACTGGTTAGCATAACAAATTATATAGAGATTATATATCTAATTGTCATTTGTCCATACAATTTTGCAGATCGCTCGCAGCATGGTCTTGTGCACGTTTATCTCAGCGCCGCTTATGTTTATATCCGCCAAGATGATATCGCTGACAAATCTAAAACCCTTGGACTACTTACATGAGCTGGATGCCTTCTCCTTTGACATCAGCGTGGCTGGCGCCGCCGCCTGTTGCTGGATGCTCGCGCTGCTGATAGTGACGAAGCGTTTTAAGCGCATGCCGCAACGCATAACAGCTTGCCTAGTGCTCTCACAGGTGCAAATTGTGTTCAGCTTTAATACGCGTTTACATACTTAACAACTGTTTTTCACTTTTATCAGCTGATGTGCTGCATTGGCGTCATACTCTGGTCGAAGCTGGATCACGTGGAGCGCTGGCCTCTGTACCTGCAATTCTTTTTGTTCAATATAGGCACCTACAGCTCGCGCTTGTGGACAGCTTTATTGGCCATAACGCTGCTCTTCTTGCAGTGCCGCAGCTTGTGCTTTGTGCTCAAGCTGTGGCCCTATATGGTGAGCTGTTTAAATATAACTGAAATGTGCTCACCCTCATTGATTTCTTTATATCTTCACAGCTCATCTTTGCTTGGGGCGTGCCGGCTCTTATCTCTGGCCTGCTAATTGCCTTCGATTCCAAATCCATGCCTAGTGAGAAACAGAACCCTAGCTTTCAATATGGCAATGCCCAGGCAGCAATTGCCGTCTTTCTGCTCGTGATGTGCTTCATAGGTGTGTGGGAGCTTAAACTACTCCTTTTCAATTCAAAACTGATGAGAAATTAGCATATTTTTGACGCGTTATGACGTTACAATGATGCACTCAAAGTTTTCAATCTGATTATAAAACTTTACATAAGCAATCGCATTTTGTTACCATAAATCTAATTGAATCTAATTTTACAGTTACTGTGGGCTGTCTTGTGCTGCATCAACGCTATAAGAAGCGCTATGAAAAGTACCTGACCTATTCGCGTGAGTTATCCAATCCGGATTCGGGTATGCATTCGCTATAGCAATACAAGAATTAACAGCCAGTTCATCAGCTCCATTCTCTACAGCATCCGATTTGCATTCAACTGTATCAACGGCCAATTTGTTGGCCAATGCGGATCGTTCGCCATTGCGGCAGAGCTTGCGCACAACCTCGTATTCCTCCTCGTCTGACGATGATGAAATGATCACCACAACTGTGGTGCCCGAGATCAGGGCGAATGGTGGCTGTGGCTCTGGCAATGGCAACTGTTGCTCCACCTCGACGGCAACCACGCCCACAACAGCATCCACTGTGGTCATGGATATAGAAGATCTACTGAATCGCAGTCGGCAGCGCAATGTGATGAAGGATTTGGATAAGATTGATAGTGCGCCGACAACAGAATCGTAGGCATAAACTTGAACTGTAGAGTAGGGTGGTTTATTGAACATTCCCTTTATTGTAGCCACATGTGCAGCAGTGCGTACAACTGCGGTCCGAGCACCTCGCGCCAGAGCTGTCAGAATATCATTGAACGGTATGAGGAGCAGACGCGCAGTGGTCTGGAGCCATTGGAGAATACGAGCGATTCCGATGAGCATCAAACACTGAAGCATACCATTTTATTGATCATACTGCTCTGCTCCATGTTTGTCGGCCTGGCCGTGTCCATTTGGACGCTGGTCATGGAGGGCATGTCGGGCATCTATTTGGAGCTAAGTTTTCTGGATGCTTTCCTCAACTTTGGCCAGGGATTAATTGTGCTCGCTGTGTTTATAAGCGACACAGGCGAGCTGCTAATGCCGTTGATCAAATTCTGGCGCAAACTCTGGTTAGTATTTAGTTGAATATTGAATTGAAGTAGTATTGATATATTGATGCAATTCCATTTCAGGTATGGCGCTAATGTCGTCAGTCTACCTCACTGGTCCACTTTGCGGCCGGAGACAAAGCAGATATGCGAGCAATTTCGCAATCATCACTTGGAGAACTGCAAGAAGGACATTGCCAAGGATAGACGGTGAGTTTTCTGGCTTATTGCTGAATTATGTTTATACAATTTCTGCTATTCCCCGACAGATGGCGCATTCGTGTTTACCGCAAGGTATTCTATGGCAGCGAATTCGTTAGCTGGCTCATCGAGGTGGGCCTGTCCAAGGATCGCATGGAGGCTGTGCATTATGCACGACATCTGGTCGACGGTCGTGTACTGCGACACATTAACAACGTTTATCATTTCGAGGATAAGCAATTGCTTTACAACTTCTGCAGTCGCATCTAGACGACAAAAGAATGCAACGACGCCAAATGTTAAGTTCGTTTCTGTTATGATTAAGTGAGAATCGTGTTATTCGTGTGCTGTGATTGTACGCTAGCGGGTATGCACATCACACATACGCACGCACACACACACACACACACTCTCGTACACACCACTACAGACAGCCATCAGTTAGTGTGTGTGTATTCGCGTGTGTGTGTGTGTGTGTGCGTGAGTGGGTGTTTGTTTGTGCCTTTGAATAGGGAAAATGTTTATTGTCTATTTATACAAACTATAAATATGATTTGACACATTTGTTTATACAATAAGTAGATAGTTAATTTAGGAGCAAAAGCTCAAGCTATAGTGCAATAATTTAGCAAATATACTATATTATATATATATACATACATATGATTAATCATATTAACGATGCTTCTGTCACAAGCAACTGTGCATAAAACGTGTGTGTGAATGCCCATATCGAGCTATAAATATAAAAGCAAATGCCTATATCCTATCTTGTATGCTAAATACATACGCAACAATAAATTTATATATATGTATATATGTACTATATATATATATACATCGAAAACAAATTACAAATGCATTTGTGTCGCATTCGTTTTTAAAATTCTTTCGATTTCAGCTTCGGTTTTATTTAAGTCATTTGCATTTTACCTATACATATAGCTGCTGTATATATATATATATATACATGTGTGTATATCTACAGTCTGTTTATCTATAGTTATATCAACATCTTGTGGGCTCTATAATTTTAAATTTAATTTCTTGTTTTTGTTTCATTTCGCTTTTGGCTGTGCACGCGTTGAACAATTTTCGTGTTTGTAATTCCAATTGACTTTAATTCCGGAACGAGCGCTACGTTTTGGGAGCCTCTATTGATCAAATGTTAATTGTGAGCCGAGAGGTAGATAGACAGAGAGAGAGAAAGAGGGAGAGAGACGACTTATTGAGCCATTAAAATGCCGCGGATGATGTCTCAATGTTTTGATATTTAAAACTTGGTAATCTTTTTTTTTTTTACTTCTTGTTGACTGCTTCTTTGTTTTATATGTTTTGTTTTTAATTTTGGCTGCGTGCCTTTTTAAGGTGGCAATACAATAAACATTCTTATTTGTTTGTTATGCTAAATAGTTGCCTGCAAATATGTGAACCCACTGTGCAGCCACTGGGTGGCTCTGCGCCTACGGCCAATTGTTGGCGCAGCTTCCGTTTGAATGGACTGCACTTCGTATGCAATTCACGTCACAGTATGCACTCGGCATAAACAACTGCAGCCAGCCAGCCAGCCAATTGTAAGACATTGATGCATGACCGAGCAGCACCCACTTTCAAGTTTCCTCAAGCTTGCCGAGCTGCACAGTTCTTGGAACAGCATCGGCATCTAGCTGGAAAATTACAGACGCATGTACATATGTCTGAATTCATAAGTATTCATATATGCACATACACATATTTACTTTTCATGCACAGCCCGTGCAATCGGGACTACCCCAAAAAATGTCGCTCGAGCGTGTTATCAGCTGGGAAGATTGCAAGCTCATAAACTTTAATGACAACTTAAAGCAAATAAGATAAGTTAACAAAAAAGAACTAAATAAATAACATATCAAATAAAAATAGCATTAACCTTGACATTTGGCTCAGATAGGAAAGCGTATAGCAGGGCATCTATATTTGGTGTTTTATAATGGAAACGTTGTTCAAAGTTACTAAATATTAAGTAGTGTATTACATATTATTTAATTTTACTAATTATCAACTATAGTCTACTTGATAAATTGTTTCACGATTCCATCAAATTGATTTCTAGACCTCTGTAAGTACTACTAAATCGATTTAGTGTGTAATTCTTCATAGTTGCTGTCTATGAATCAGTAGAATTCATTGGAATTTCGTAGTATACAAATATTGAAGGAAACGATCAAATGAGAGTAAAGCAGTAAAGTAAAGTAAGAGGAAAAAAAGAAGTAGAAATCTCCTGAGAAAAGACAAATTAATAAATGTTTTATAATCTAAACAAAGTTGATCCTTAGCTCAGTTTTATTATAATAGATTATATATTTATATGTCCAATTAGTTTTATACAGTTTTCTAGAGTATTCCTCAAATTATTCCCCATATAATTCGGGACACTGCACAAATTGCAGGCACTACGGAGTCAGTGGAAAGAATGCGGAGCTACATATATCTTATTTGACAAATACAATTGTGCAAGCAGCCTAAGTGGGGCTTGCCAGTGAGTCAGGAGATTTACAAATTCAATACGGAATATGTGGGTAAATACACATGGAAAACTGATATAAGTGCTCTGATTGTAAGAGTTGACTGTGTACAGATATATATAGACATATTGCTTACTATTTGAAATATTCTGGGAAAAGAGATTAGAGAGGACTCTTAGAGGCAGCCTTATCCCAATTCGCATTTGAAAAGTGCTTGTCAAATATGACAAGAGGATGTTGGCAATGGGACTGGCAGTCAGGCATCGCGTGGGCCGGCTCAACCGCTGCTTTACCATTAATCAGTGACTTTAGGGTGCTAAGCTAATAAATGAAAAGGTCTAGCAAATAATACGCTATTATTTATGAATTCCATTTTGGCCAACACAAGCCACAGCCAACGAACGAGTCAAGAGTCGCAGGTCAGTCAACTGTTCTGCCAAAGAAGAGATGATGTACACATACATACATACACACATATATATGTATATGCATGTACATATAGTATATAGTGTATATAAATGAAATTTTTATGTGCCCTCAAAAAGGCAAACGAAAAAATATGAGGCCGGCGCTCGGTAAGCTTTCAATTAACGGATAGCCAACAGGACATCGAGGGATAGACTGAATTCACTGGAATATATTACGCAAAAACTTTTACTGGGCCTTAAGTCAAAGTTCGTGTTTGCCTTTTTGTTATTCACTATCTGTCTCTCTCTCTCTCTCTCTCTCTCTCTCTCTCTCTCTCTCTCTCTCTCTCTGTGTGTGTGTGTGTGTGTGGTGGGTGTGTGTGCTTTGGACAAATTAGCTAAAAATAGTCACGGCATGACGTCCTTCATGCTGCAGGACAGCCTCTTTATTAGGACCACCATCTGACGGTCTTTGAATTTATTATCAACAAAAGTCGACGAATGTGAAGCATATTGTGGGCCAACAATTGATTGGCAGCGTGTGTACACACGTTTGTGTGTACACAAACCCTTGTCTGTGTGCATGTGTGTGTGTGTGTGTTTTAGGCTGCGAACTCGCAATTAAATTACACATTGCGCATTCGCCGCATTGTCAACAAATTGAAGCAGCTGACTGCAGACAGCGCTGTTGCCGGCGCTGCTTCTGTTGGCAGCGGCGTCGACGTCAGCGACGGCGTCGTGTTGCTCACTTCCGTTTCGCTTTACGGCTAATATCGCATTTAGAATGCATTTCGTATGCGCCTCTTTGATCTTAACTCAAGCATTTCGCACACACTATGTGTGTATGTATGTGTGTGAGTGTGTGTATTGATTATTTGCAGTAGCTATTTATTTCATAATTGCATTCTTAAATGTGCTGAAAAAAATTTACGAATCAAAAGCCGCGCGCACGATTCACCGAAAAATTTCAATAAATACAAAATATTTTAATTGTTCAACAATTTTGCCAAGAAAAATAATAGTTGTTAAGCTAAACAAAAAAAAAAATCATAAAACGAATTATAAATGCACTATTAATAAATTATATTACTTACATTTTAGCTAAGAGCCTCGGTTTTCTTTGACCATTCATCACCTCAATTACCTCAAGATATTGGCAAATAATTCCATTAAATAATAATTGACGTTGAGCAATTGACGTTTCTTCTGATTCCTGTTTTAGTATACCTTTTACATTATGGTTTCTTATCGAATTTCTTGATAACTTCCACAGGTATTGTAATGTTCATGATGATAAAAGAGTCTAGAGATTTTGCAACCATTTCTCTGTCTGAATACGCTCATGAGTTCAACTCTTTGTCTTCATTCATTTTTTCCGGTTTGTCCGTATCGCAATATAAATAAAGTTGTGATATCCTGATCTGAACCACAGATGAATGAAAAATACATTAGTATAGCCGAAAGAAACAATAATAAAAATATTTTAATTTTAGATAATAAATAAATCCTCTCGGATTATTCAACAAAATATTAACTTGCAACTGCTGATAATTAGTGAATACACTATAAGCATATCAAAGCAATCAATGGTTAATAAAACGTTTAGCTGGCAAGCAATATACACTGCTGGTAATAGGGCTTACACACATAGTCGATGTGTTTATATGTCTAGTTGATTAGGTCGATAGATTTATAGTTCAGTCACATATTTATATCAGTTTACCCCTGGGAGTGACAGCAGCTGAGATGATGGTAACACTTTGATATAGCTCCATTTGTATGCATCAACATATTCATTTAGTGAGCGACAGTCGAATTCAATATGCACTTACATCGTAACATATGCTTTGAGATGACGAATTTATAATTCATAATAATGTGTGAGTTATAAATTGATCACAGTTAAGTAGAAAAGTACGCGATGTAATAGAAATTAATATATGTTATATTACTGTATATATTATTAATCATTTAATGTGTATATAGTGTGTATAATGCATAACCAAGTGCATAAGCTGCCCAAGTGGAAGAGCATATAAAAATAGCAAAGCAATTACGACCGCACAGGCTGCTGCTGCTGCTGTTGCTATTGCTATTGTCGCAGTCAACGTTGGCGTCGGCGTTGTTATTCGGCATTCGGCACGAGCGTCGCATGCTAAATGGGGTGGGCTCAACTGTTGGCACACGACGCACACGATGTCGTCTTCGTGGCTGCTCGGCGCTGCCGTCGCCCACGATGTCGTCTCAGCTATGCAGCATCGAGCAGAAACGAAGACGACTTCGTGTGCGTCGTGTGCCAACTGTTGAGCTTCGCCTGGCTGCGCTCAGCTAAGGAGCTGTTGCTTTTGCTTTTGCGGCATTGCCGGTGCTTTCACACCCACGGCGACGAGTAGTAGTAGCAGAGGCAGCAGCAGAAGCAGCAGCAGCAGCGCCAGCGACTGCGGCAGAGCAGCCAGCGTTATTATCGTTGTCGTTAGCCGAGCTGTCGGCTCGTTATTCTTAATCGACGGCTCGCTGCAGACGGTGCAAATATCGCACGGCAAAACTTACCGAAAAGAATATATCGCGCGTGCGTAACAGTCTATACAGAGACAAATATATATATACACATATATATACATATATATTTATATATATATACATACTTATGGCTAATGCCGAAAAACAGCAATTGCTAAATAGTTTAATGATAAATTAAGTGAACAAGTGGCTGACGATCGCAAAACTAGTTTACAGCTTGCCGCACTTGCAACACACACACACACACAAACGTGCAAAGATTGGTAAAAATATCATCAAATAAGAAAGACCGCCATGTCCGTGGCCAGTGGGGCTGACAATGCCACTGTGGGGCAACTGCTGCAGTTGGCCAACGAGTTGACCACAAATCGATCGGCCGCTCTAACGGCCACAGCCGCTTTGTATAACAATCGCAGGCGTTTGATATTCAGTTTGATTGTCATGGGGCTCGGTGTGATCGGCAATTTTCTGGCATTGATTATTTTGGCGCGCAAAAAGCATAACAAGAACAGCAAATACACCTTTATGTTGCGGTAAGTCAACTGGAATGCATATATCGACACCAATACACACACACACTCAATCACACACACGTACAGTCAGTCGGGTGCGAGTGTCTCCATTGATAGTTGTCATATATAGTTTTTGAACTCCGTGCGTCGAGTTCATGGCAGTTGAGGTTTGTTCAACTTGCTGCAAATCGAAATTGTGCGGGTCCGAATTTGCATTAAGAGTCAAGCGTACGACGCGAAAAGCTCAGCTACCCCAAACAGAAAACAATCACTAAAAGCTAAATCGGAAAACATATGCGAGTATCGCATTTCGTATGCCCTGTGCAAACAAGACATTTCAAACTTTTTGAATAAGCGCAACAAATATGCTGAGAACATATGGTGGGGTAGGATTTCATTAATGAAGCTTTTACATTTGTGAACCGCCTGAATTCATTTATTATACTGCTTTGCATCAGTCATAATATTTATATGAATTAAAATTGAGTGTAATGGGCTTTAAACGTGTCGTATACTTAATATGTATATATTTACTTTTATATTTATGACAGATCGTGACATTTTTAGCTGTGATATCCTTTAAGAAATTCAAATTAAAATTGTACATTAATTATTTAATTATACAAATAAATATTTTTAATAATACTCGGTTGAAATTTATACATTAAAAAATACGCACAAAGGGAAGCTCAATGTTTTGTTTAGTTTTCGTGCGTTTCTTTATGGTTTTTATTGATAAGTCATAATCAACTAATATGTGACCTTGAGCCTAAATTATTAAAATATATATATATGTACAAGCACATATATACTAGCTAATAAAAATCGTTTAGCTCTATCGTAGAGCTCAAGTCTAGCTAAGCTTTATCTTTATATCTTATCACATTTTACTTT